CAAGGTATGAACTTTATACCTTCTAAAGATGTAGGAGGGTGAAAAACTTCCAGATCCAAGGTTGTTCCAAGCTTCTAGGTTGTTCTCTTTTCCTTATTCTTCCTCTAAGAGCACCACAACACCCACAAATGGCTCAATATAGCTCAAATACGAATTAAGGTTTGCAAAGGTCAGAGTTGGGGCTGGAGGCTGATGAAAGGAAGAGGACTTGGGACATAAGGATGCTTAAATAGGGTCCAAAACCTAAATATTAGGGTTTGAGGTTTTGGCACGTACGCCCAGCGTATGAAGTGTACGCCCAACGTACGTGTGCTCCGCCAACAATTACAAAAATGCCACTATGGGCCATTTTGCAACCATTCTCTCACACGAGGACTAAAATGAAATTAACTCTCATTCTTAGGGTTAAAAAATGGAATACCTTAACATCAAGATGTTACATGAAGGTCAAATTATAACAATGTACTTACACTTGAGACAAAGATTAGAGATCATTCATGATCAAGATATTCTTAAATCAACATAAATCCAAGGGAGCACCAAAATACATAAAACCTCGCCATGGGACAAATGTCGTCACACAAATCATAGATGGGAATGAAATACATATTCTAGACTTAACACCAAACTCATATAATTGTTTGGAACAATGAAACTTGATCTAAAACACTGAGGGTTTGAAAATACCCAAATCATCACATAAAAGCTAAACTTGAATCAAACATCAAATAATCTCACCATAAGTCATAAATTGACAAATAGACCATAGATTTGAAATTAAATACAATCACTAAGCATAAATCAAGCTCATAACTAGACAATGAACATCAATTTAAAATTTCACCATTGGCGGTAAAGGAAATACATCAAAACAATTCCAATATCACAAATCTCATAACCATTTGTTCGTTAGGGCTTGGAGATGAATAAAGAATGAAACCACATCAATAATCTCATATGAATAACACTAATGGAGTATAAATTTCAGATTTGAAATCCAACCAAAACCCTAAAACGAATTTAGGGAAAAAAGAAAGAAAACTACCTTTTTGATGTAAGATATTGAAAGGGATTGATCAAGGCTTTATGTAATAGTTCCAAGCATCAATAATTCAATATACCATGGATATTGTGGGGAAAATCTGATTATGAAGGTGGAAGGGAGCTGGAATCGAGTGGAGAAAGAAAGGGAAGAAGTGGATGAGAAAAAGGGCTAAAAAGCGCTAACATATTTTACCAATGTCGAAACCGCGACACGACACAAAATGAACCACGGCGCGGTCCCCTTTATTTGGAAAAGTTGACATTTTAGGCTCTTATTCCAAAAATCTTTTCGAAAATGGTCCCTAAGCTCACCTAATTATCATATTAACCCACACACGGTCCTTACTTATCTTAACTTGTACAAAATTGGTCATATATGTTTATTTGGTCAAAATATCGGGTCAAGCACAAGTTTCTACAAATTGACACTATTGGTCCCTCGTTTATTTTCTTTCCCAAATATGGTCCTTAACTTGGCCAATAACTCATTTTTAGTTGTTTTCCAACATAATCTATTCAATCATGGTCCTAATAACCTGGTCCTAATAACCTAGATGGTCAACTTCTCAAGTTAAACACAAGTTTTCATTTGATGCTCAAACTCTATTAAAATTTATTTATGATTTAGTAATAAGGTTTATTATGGTTATTATTCCAAATAATTTACTTTATTTTATTTATTTTCTCCATTTCAGTTTATTTTATTTCAATTTTAAAGAACAAAAAATCTATTTTATTTTTACCAAAAAGCTCAAAACTTCTAGCCCCAAAAATAGGATGTTACAAACTGCACTAATCTCACCATAATTAGACCCTAATGCATAACACAAAAAGAACACTAAGTTTACAACAACATTTTCAGGCTCGCGATTATCCCCACCAAAGAAACAAGAAAAAAACTTTTGCATCGAATCTTTTGATTAAGAGCATGGATTTCGTCCTTAAACTCATTCCTTGTAGACTTGAGCTCGCTTTTAATCTTTAGTTTCACCTGCATAATTTCTCCTTGGACTTCTATTTTTCACAATCACACAACATTGGAATCAAATCTTAAAGTTAAATCCATTGTCGAATAAACTTGTGTTGGATGTAATTAGTGATATAGGAGCTTTAAAGGATAAATCGCCCGAATCCTTTTTCTGATTTACGTAACAAGGTTACTTGTTTATTCAATTTGGGGGTTTATATGAGGGGGGGGAGGGGGGACCACGACTAACCTTAGGAACCAAGAAATCTATAATATCCATCCACGTTAAAAACTACTAGCCTAACGTGTCTTTAATTATCTGGTGTGTCTCCGGTTTACCTTTGTTCAATTGGATGAAAAAACTCACATGACAATGAAACTACTTATGATAAGAAAAGTGACTAATTTAATTGGTAAAGCGAAACCTAAAGCTCAAAAAGCACCAAAAAAACATAAAAAGACATTTTAAAACAAAACCTAATATTTTATAGACATTATCCCATTTTATTTATATCATTTTATTCGCTTCCTCCTTTTTCTTCTTGGGGTGTTTGGGATTGCTTTTTAAACTTTAAAAATAACTTTTGGCAAAAAGATTTATTGACTTATAAATTTTTAAAAATAAGTTTATAAAAAATGTTTGGATTAACTTTTGTAGTTGGAAAAGTCAAAAAGTTAAAAATGTTTGGCTAGGTTTTGTATGTAAGATGACTAAAAAATGACTTATGACTTTTCCAAAAATCAGGTTTTTGTACCTTCTGGAAACCTTCATTTCCTCCTTGCCAAAACGCAATTTCAAAAAACCAAGGACCATATTAATTTATTGTTTTTTAGAAAACCAATAAATCTATATAAATATTATAAAGAATGTCATTTTTTTCAACTTTTAATATGGTTAAAGATAAATCATTTATCTTTTACTATATTGACCACCAAACTAATCAATCTGCTAAATTAATACACAACATTAGAGTTTTCATTTACTACTAAAAATTAAATATAATCTTGATTTAATATTGTCCTAATCATGTTTAAGTTATTTGTACATGTACCTACTAGGTCTCAATAAACATAAACAAAAGAGCAATATACATACATATATATATATATATATATATATATATATATATAGAGAGAGAGACTTAGGTTATTCTATTCAATGTAATTATTGTGTTATTGTATGCATAAATGTGGACCAATCAAATTTACTTATTTTAAGAAAGTGATTAATATATATTATTGAATTAAATATAATTGAAAAATATCATCTTAATTAATTACAAGGGTAATTTAGTCAATTGATGTAGATTTAATAAAGGAAAATTGCATTTTTTAAGGGATCATAGATTCTATTAATTTTAAAAATCCGATTTTACGAATTATAATTTTTTTTATTCGGACATTCTGACAGAATATTTTTATGAGTATATTCAAAAATAAAAATATTCTTGAACCATAAATAATAAAAATATATTTGAACCTATTTCTTGATCATGAATTTAAAAACTTCTTGTAGAATAACAAATTCTTGAACAATCAATTGAAGAATAAAAACAAAAAATACATTATTTCTTATAGAATACGGGTAACAATTGTTAAGAATTACATTTATTGTTAAAGAATAAAACTAAAAAAAACTTTCAAAACGGGAAAGAAAACATCAAAATCTAACAACGACTAATACATTCTAAAAGAATAATGTGGTATGTTTCAATTTTGTGGTCCCGTTCTTCAAGCATCAACTTCTGTGATTCCAACAGAATTAGAATTCGTGATTCCATTCCAACAGAATTGCAATTCGTGATTTCATTCCAATAGAATTGGAATCTCACCAATATCATCCATTGAATCATCTACATAAACATAGTTGATATCTTTTCAGAATTCAACCTTGTTGCGATTACTCGACCTTGACTTCTCTAGTTGGTGGTGCTAATTGCAAATAGTAAAATGGTTCACATTATTCCAAGATTCTGTAATTGTCAAATACCAAATGCAAGTAAAAATTCACCGGGGCAGGACACACCTGGCCTCCTGTAACATATTGTATGGCTGTAACATATTGTATGGCAGAGTAAACATAAAGAAATCAAAAGCAATTAGTTCCATCCAAACTCAAATTATACAAAGGAATCATAAAAACAACAAAAAAAATCTCTACCTTTAGATGGAGCAGCCGGCTGTGACAACCCCACCTCCACCTTCTTCTCCGTCTTTTGCAACGACCACACACTCTAGTGTGGTGTTTTCTTCTTGTTCTGTCGATCAAAGCACAAAACATACACCACCCCCAAATCACTACTTCTAAGAAACAGAAGTTGACGCAACTAGAGGCTGCTAGAACAAAAAAAACTAATTTCTTCCTTCTTCATTTCCTATGAATCAACAAACCCAAATTCCCTTCATTTTCATTGATATCCCAGCAAACCCAAACACCCCAACGATTTCTATCAAACAAACAAACAAAATCCCAAAAGAAACTTTTTTTTTTTCGTTTTACTATTGAGGTATCAGAATAAAAAATCAACCATCTTTATGCATAAAAATGTGAACTTTTTACAAATTTAAGCTATGAACATGAAAAATCAACCATTTTTTTTGCAAAAAGTGTTAACACTTCACAACTTTGAGGCATTTGAATGATAAATCAACCATCTTTTAGCATAAAAATATGAACTATCAAAAACCCATAAATATTTTCAGATAATTGGAGCAAACAAACTCTCTGTAATTACTTTTGAGGAAGATGAAAAGAAAAGAAAGACTACCTTAACTATAGCGAATCGGTGCTTCCAAATTCCAATAACCACGTTCCTATTTCCCCATTTCTTTACAAATTCAAAGCAAACCAGAAGACTTTTCTTCTGCTTCTTGTACCTCAGCCTATACCGACCTCAACCTATTAGATTCGACACTATTTTGGACCACAAATTGCTTTACAAATTCCAATTTCAAGTACCTTTTAACCTTTTTAGTCCTTTTCAAATCGATGAAGCCTTTTTGTGCACCTATAAATGCGACAGCAGCCTCTTTAATCACCTACAGATCAAGAAAACCATCAAGAATGAATCATGGCGGCGGTGGTGCTAAAGACCATGGTAAGGAGGGTGGTGGTGTTGGAGGAGACGAGGTCAGGTACAGGGGTGTCAGGCGTCGTCCATGGGGGAAGTATGCGGCGGAGATCCGCGATCCTACCAAGCAAGGTGTTAGGGTTTGGCTGGGGACTTTTGCCACGACGGAGGAGGCTGCCAGAGCTTATGATCGAGCAGCTTTCGATATGAGAGGTCACATGGCAGTTCTGAACTTCCCGGCGGAATTCCCTCCGACATTTTCTGTTGCTGCTTACAATGCTTCCACCAGGGCTACCACCTCTTCGTCATCCATGGCTACCCTCACTATTAAACCTTTCCCCATCGATTATTTTTGGATGATCAGCGAGGGTTTTCTGAACACGATAGCGTCAATACCCTGTAGGATGCTAGGGCTTTATTGGGTGGGAGATTGAGGAAGACACGCTTATTTATTTAGGTTATAAGTCAATACCATGATTATAGAGATTATTTTTGGAAGTTACTAAACAAATTACTAAATTACCCTTATTTATTTATTTTATTATTTAATTTTTTATTTAATTTTGATTGGTCCACATTGATGCATACAATAACACAATAATTAGTTTAAACACCTGAACCTAGCTCTCTCTCTCTCTCTCTCTCTATATATATATATATATATATATATATATATATATATATATATATATATATATATATATACACACACACACATTAAGTATGGAAGTAATAAACAAAAAAGTTCTAAATAAATATGGTATTATATAAATTATTTAACTTTAACCACAAATGATATAGATATAAATATATGTTTGATTAAAAATAACCATGTTGTCATTATCTATAACATATAATTTTTTGTACTTATTTGTTACGAAATTAATTATATAATAATTTAAAATAGATTATAATATAAAATTTATAAATATTATAAAGGAGACTATTTTTTCAACTTTTAATATGGTTAACGATAAATCATTTATCTTTTACTACATTGATTTGAAACCATCAAACTATTCAACTTCCTTCTAAATTAATACATCTCATTAGAATTTTCATTTACTACTAAAAATTAAATATAATGTTGACTTAATACTCTCTTAATCATGTTTAAGTTATTTACACATGTACCTACTAGGACTCGATAAACATAAACAAAAAAAGAGCATTATATAGTTAACTTTTTTTTTTTACATTAAGTGTGGAAGTTAATAAACAAAAAAGTTCTAAATTATTATGGTAAAACATAAATTATTAAATTTTAACCACAAATGATATAGATATAAATATAAGTTTGATTAACAATAACTAATGTGTTGGCATTATTTATAACATATTTTTTTATACTTATTTGTTACAAAATTATTTATATAATAATTTGAAATAAATTATAATATAAAATCAGTTAAAACTAAAATTTTGAACGGCCTCTAACCGTGATATACACGTATAGATGATTACAATTATATATATATATATATATATATATATATATATTATATATATATATATATTATTTATAAGTGTTATTTTTAATATTTATATTTAAATTGTGTTATTAGTTAAAGAATATGTTGAACTTTTTACATATAAATAAAGCTATATGGTGAATACAGTCATTGTCATAAAAAATCTAAAAACTTTAAATATAAAATTAATGGGTAGCTAATGATATAATTCCAAAATAATATATGTTGAAGGCTGATCATCGAACGACTAAACTCAATTTAAATCTTAGTTGATGTTTGAAAATTGTCTTAATTCGAGTAATTTGGGATGAACCAAATTGATAACTTTTTTTTATTTAACTTTTAAAAACAAAATGATAATATATTTCAAATTTTTAAAAAAAGGAAAAAATATCATGCACTTAAACATAATAGACAATATCCGCTGGTATTTAAGATGTTAAAAATCATCTTTTTTATAGCATAAAAGATTTCGTTCACAACATATACATATATCTATTTAATATAGTTATATAAGATTATGCATTTTTATATTAACAAAATGGCATCAAAGTCATGTCATATACGCAATTGTTACAATGTAGCTATACAAGTGACATAGTTGTGTGTGACTACACAATCTATTCAAAATATATAAAAATCTACTAAAATTGTTGTATGTTTTCTATAGGGATAATGACTTAAAAGGGTAACATATTTTTTGATTTGTACACATTTAGTCACTGACTTTTTTTTGTCCACATTTTCCCATTAAACTTGTTGAACTGTCCAAATAACATCCTTATGACCTGCTATTGGAGGTTTAGCCGGTTTCCGGCGTATTTGACACCTCCGACGATGCTCTGGTCATCTTCTCTGGCGAGTCTCCGGTGTTCATGATTATTCCGGCGAAAATGAACACACATACTTTAGATTTGTTTCAACTTCTATTATCCCCTTTCTTTTTCTTATATTTTCTCATGAACTCAAGATCTGTGATGAACACACATACATACACATCAGATGAGTGTATGTGTGTTGTTCCAAAATCAAGCATGAACACATTTGAAAATCGTTCCAATAAACCCAGATCTGATGTTCAAGCATGAACACATACACACAAACACTTCTGGAGATTGTTTGATTTATGTGAAGAAGATGAACACACACATTGCTTTTTGATTTCTGTGAAGAAGATGAACACAATGAACACACACACACACATATCTTGAAGATCATTTGATTTCTGGAAAAAAGATAAACACACACACTGATTTTTGTTCAAGAACACACATCAATCAGGGAAAATGAAAATGAAACTTAAATCAGATCAAAAAACGATTTTTGTTTAAGAACACACATCGTTCAAGAAAACACACACGATTTTTGTTCAAGAACACACACATCGATTTTCAGATCTTCATACTTCTTCATTCTATTTTAAGATCTTCATATATCTTCATTCGATTTTCAAGAATACATACCCAGATCTTATGTGTGTGTGTGTGTTATTGTGTTTATTATTTAAAAATCGAAATCTGAAAAGATGAACACGAACACAGAAAAAGATGAACACGGAAACACACTCAAAAAAAGATAAACATGAACACACACTCATAAATCTTCGATTTCCTTTCTGGAAATTGAGTTTGCTCTTCAAAAACCGAACATAAAATCGTATTTGGGGTTGTATTTTTCAAAAAACTGAAGCTTTGGTTAAGAAATCGGTTCAGATTTGCTTAAGAACACCATGACTGGAGGTTGAAGACGATGAACAGTAATCTGATGTGTATGTTCATCACAGATCTGAGTTCTTGAGTTCATGAGTAAAGAGAAGGAAGTGAGAATGAGAGAATATACCGGAGTTCTTAACTACGCCGGAAAAAAATCATTAACGTCGGAGACTTACCGGAGAAGATGACCGGAGTCTCGCCGGAGAAGATGACCGGAGCTGTCAAATACGTCGGAAACCGGTCAAACCTCCGATAGCAGGTCGTAAGGATGTTATTTGAACAGTTTAACAAGTTCAATGGGAAAGTGTGGACAAAAGAAAAAGTCAGTAACTAAATGTGTATAAATCAAAAAATATGTTATCCTTTAAAGTCATTATCCCTTTTCTATAAGCTAATAGTATATCTTTTATGTTTATCGTGTGTAGATGAAGTATAATAATAATTTCTTTAGGTGATGGTCCATTTTTATCTATCTACCCAAAGAATTTTTTGCCCGTGAAAGTTTTTTTAGATAAAAAGAAAAAAAAAGATGTTCATTCGAAATGGTTATGAATATATGTATACACTTAAAGACTTATAGAACATTATTGACAATATATATATATATATATATATATATATATATATATATATATATATATATATATATATATATATTCTTTTAACTCGCGGCTAGGTCACGAGCCCATAGCAGAAGCGAAAACCATCGAAGTAACCCAACCCCGTAGCAGTTTTGTCTACCTTTCTTCGTTCTTTCCCTCTACAAACTCAAATCCAGATACAAATACAATCACGTTCTTGGCTAAATTTTTGTGGCAGCACCAATGGCACCTCACCCTCAGATAGACGATGTAAGTGATAAATTCTAGGGTTTGTATTGTATGCGTTTTTTTTGTTGGGTTTTAAATTATTCTTAATAATTTTCTTTTCTGATTAACGGAAATCGTAGGATGATGATTTCGATGGTGATTTTCCTGGAACCGACCACGCAAGAAGCGCAGGTTATGATCAATTGTCGGAGTTACAGCCAGTAGCGTTTTTTTTAATCATGTAACTTATCTTTCGTTTTATTTTCGACTTCTGTAATGTGATTGCAGGCACTAAGAGGAGTTTTGGAGATCTTGATGATGAGGAAGATGATATTTTTGGCTCCAAAAAGGTATTCTATTTAGTTGTTTGTTTTTTAGTGGTTATACATCCTCACGTAGATGATTAGAGTCTTCATATTAGTGTAGATATGTCCCCTCGTTGTGGTGGTTAAGTGCCGTGCTTTATGTTAAAGTTCCTTTGAGTAGAAAAGTACACCAACATCTTCACAAAATACTTAAGGCAGACATCTGCATTGAGATGATTAGAGTCTTCATATTAGTGTAGAAACAAAAGTATGTTTGATAGTTGAATGACTATAGAAGGCCCTGGGAAACTAACAAGATATTGAAAGAGACCACATTGTTCATTTTTTAGGATAACAAAGGAGGTGGTTTATTATACTCGGGTCGGCCACGAGATTTTGGAGGCCGTGTGCAATTTAGTAAAAATAGGCTCTAAAACTTTAAAAATTTAAAAAGATAAGCAAAACAATAGTATTCTATTGCAATATAGTTATAAGCTAAAGTTTCATCCAAAATAAAACACAAAAAAGAAACTTGCTTCTACTTGAAAAGTGTCGTCCTTCTTATATTCGTTAGAACAAACTTTATAATTACATCTTCATAAATAATTTTATCCAATAGGTTGCTCTTAATTGTCATCAAAGCAAATCCATTAAGTCGTTCTTGTGTTATTGTAGATCGTTAGTAGGACTTCAATATCTTTAATTTGGAAAAACTTCGTTCCGCAGATGCACCAGTTATAGGAATAGTCAACAAAATCCTATATAAAATAGATGTATTAGGAAAACGATCAATACATTTTAAAAAATTTAGAATATCAATTTTTGTCTTTTTTTCCTTAGGCAAGATATGAAGTAATTATAACTCAACATATAAATCAATCTTATCGATATCTGATTGTTCATTTTTCTTAAGTAAAGTGTCAAGAGACTTACAATAACATTTTAAACAGATATCATCTAATGAAAGTAATTTTTCAGAATTAAACAAAAAACCAAACATATTATCATATTGTTGATATTTCAAACCTTGTAGTTAGAGAAGAAAATCTTCTTAAATATTTATCTTTAGGACTTTTATGAATGAACAAATCTTTTTTAAGACCTTTCATTGCTAAAATATTTATCATGTTAGAGTTAAGGGTTTCCCAATTTCTTGAACCAAATACATCAAATGTAAGAAACCATTATCATCATTAACATTAACATCATCACTGTTAGTATCATCAATGTTAGTATCATCAACATTAACATCATTAAGATTAACTTTACTTATAAATGGTGGTTATGATTTGGAAAAGGGTTTAGAAGATGACAAATGGCATAGCAGTGATAGCCTTGATGATACTAAGATGTAATGGTGAGTATGTGAAATCTGGAGCTGTCAGATGTTCCGAACTTGAAGAACTACTTTTTGATAGGATCGAAACACCAATATCTTTTCAAAGCGATCACTTTTAGGACAATGTGAAAGTTTGGGGGGTGGGAATTGGTATACCTCATATACGAATCAAATATGCAAAGAAAAGGGAGGTTAACTAGTAAAGGCTTGGAGATAAGGGTTTTTAGGTGATTAACATTATGTATAAATGGTGGTATGGATTTGGAAAAGGGGTTCAAAAAGATGGCAAAAGATATAGCAGTGATATCCTTAATGATACTAAGATGTGACGGTGAGTATGTGAAATCTGGAGTTGTTAGATGTTCCGAACTTGAAGAACTACTGTTCGATAGGACCGAAACACCGACTTTTTTTTTTAAAGTGATTAGTTTGAGGACAATGTGAAAGTTTGGGGGAAGGAATTGGTGTACCTCATATAAGGATCAAATATGCAAAGAAAGGGGAAGTTAACTGGGAAAGGCTTGGAGCTAAGGGTCTTTAGGTGATTTCCCTTGTTAGATCGGTTATTAGCTTAGTATAAATAAGAGGTCTTATGAAGTTAGTTAGCTAGCTATTAATTTGTTGTTGGAACTTCGGTTCTTCCTGTGAGAGAATGTCCTCTCGAAAAGCAAATTGTTGCTTGTAAACTTTTGATTTTGATTCAATCATTTAACTATTAGCAAGCAGTTTTATCCTAAATACCTAGAGTATAATCAGAGCCAACCCTTTAAGGGTGCACATGGTGTAGCTTAACATGCTTCGATTTTTATTTATGTGTTATAGTATTAATAGAGGCCCAAATCAGTTTAGCCTTTAAGCCTTTTAGGTTGTGAAGCGGGAATGAAGATTAGAACTTAGAAGTCTAATCGTTTCTCCCTGGTTCTCTAGGATCTTGATCGCAAGAATCAAGATGGAAATAGAATCGACTTGGCTGCAACGGTCGCAAGAATCAATACTCTTCTTCAAAGTCAAAAATCGTATCTTTCATCATGTCAAAAATCGTCTTGATGAGGCTAATGTTGATGATGCTAATGTTAATGATGATAAAGTTGATGTTAATGTTAATAATGATAATATTGATGATGATAATGGTTTTCATACATTTGATATATTTGATCCAAGAACTTAGGAAGCCCTTGACTCTAACTTGATAAATATTTTAGCATTAAAAGGTCCTAAAAGAGATTTATCCATTCATAAAGGTCCTAAAGATGAATATTTAAGAAAATTTTATTCTCTAACTACAAGGTTTTATCGATATGATAATATGTTTAATTTTTTGTTTAATTTTGGAAAATTATTTTCATTAGATATGAGCTTAAAGTCTTGTTGTAAGTCTCTTGAAACTTCACTTAAGAAAGATGAACAATCAAATATCGTTGAGAATGATTTATAATTTTATGTGTTGAGTTAAAATTACTTCTACATCTCTTGCTTAAGGAAAAAGTAACAACAATTGATATTCTAAAATTTTTAAAACGTGTTGATTGTTTGTCTAATACATCTATTGCATATAGAATTTTATTGACCATTCCTATTACTATTACATTTGCAGAAAGAAGTTTTCCAAATTGAAGATATGGAAGCCCTACTTATGACCTACAATGACATAAAAACGACTTAATGGATTGGCTTTGATGATGATTGAGAGAAACTTATTAGATGAAATTATTTTTGAAGATGTAATTGAAAAATTTTATTCCAACGAATACTAGAATGATGACATTTTTCAAGCAGAAGCAAATTTCTTTTTTGAATGAAGTTTTATCTTATAAGTATATTGCAATAGAAAATGGAATATTAGAATTGTTTTGTTTATATTTTTGGATGTTTCAAATTTTAGGGCCTATTTTTACTAAATTGCACAATCTCAAGGCCGGCCCTGGTCCTGCTATAATGACCATAAGACTAAATGCTTCAAGAATTATTTAGAAAGAATATATGATCTTAGATAACAATGGATAAATTAGATCATACTAGAGCATTGTGTTGTTTTCCAAGGCTTTGCTTGATCCTTCATTGGAGAATATGTTTGGTGTTTTCTAGATTGTGCTTGTTCTTGACTTCTTTCTTTGTGGTGTGTTTGTAGTTTTATCATTTCTTATGTATTTAATATAAATAACATCACTTTTCTTGGGAGAATATTTATTTCCACAAAATCAGTTTCAGTAATAACTAATAAGATTAATACCCTTGTTTTTGTTTTTGTTTTTTTTTCAACACATAATAGCTTTCTGTATTGATTAAAATCTATTTACATGTAATCTTTCAAGATGTTTAGCAAACATAGATTATTTTTGTTTTGAGTAAAAAGTATATTAAAACCATACTGTAAATAGTGTATTTTCATATTTTGATGAGTAATGACTTAATGATTGCCACTTTGTTCGCATCTCAGGCTAACACAAAAACAGAAGAAACTGCATCAGGTGTAGCAACTGGGATGATTTTATCTCTGCGTGAGAGGTAATATCATATCAGCTGTTTTTTAACATTATTTTTGAATCATACATAACCTAACCCTTTCTTATCTTTCTCTGTGTTGTGACTTGTGTAGTCTCCAGAGCTGTAAAGATAATCTTGCCACATGCCAAGTATGTATAATTTTTTTTTTTTTTTGTAAATATCTTTAACCATCATACAGTAATATTAATGGTGTTGTTTGTTATCTTAATGATCTTTGTCCCAGTTAGAGCTTGAAGCTGCAAAGTCAGAAATTCAAAAGTGGCATTCTGCATTTCAGAATGAATCCTACATTACAACAGGTTGGTTTTCTTTAGCTAGCATCTTATAAAAAAAGATGAATTATGGTTATTGATGATATTAAACTAATTTCTGTATGCAGAACCTAAAAATGCTGTCAGTTATCTCCAGAATTTAAAATCTTCTGAAGAGTTACTTAGAGATCAGGTTAACCAGTAACATCAGTTAACTAATTAACTAACCATGGTTTCTGAATTCTGATTCATGTTTTTTTACCCTATATTTGTTCAGCTAGAAAAAGCAAAGAAAAAAGAAGCTGCATTTATAGTAACCATTGCAAAGCGGGAACAAGAGATATCAGACTTAAAGGTACTTTTTTTTTTTTTTTTTTTGATATGCTAAAAGTTGTTTACTTTTTCATATTTTGAAAATGTAATTAAAATTAGTTGTTCATTTGGGAATTCTTCAGTCTGCAGTTCGGGATTTAAGATCACAACTCAAGCCTCCATCAATGCAGGTATGTAAATACTTTTTTCTTCTCTCTTCTGATTTTGTATAGTTAATTTAAAAGTCATATGTGAAAAAGAAGTAACTACATTAATATGATTAAACTATACTAGTAAATCTTTAAATCATAATAAGGTGCCACTTTTATTGGTTTTGTGAAAAATCTTGCAGGCAAGAAGGTTATTGCTTGATCCAGCAATTCACGAAGAGTTTACACGTTTAAAGGTAGATATAAACATATAATAGTTGTTACAAATTTTTTTTTTTTAATATACTCGTAATAAAGGATTTAAGATATTTTAGTATGAGACATAGGGTCTCAATGAACATATTAAAAGAAAATTTTAGATTGGAAAAGTTTACATGCATTAAGAAAATTTATGAAGTATATTTTAATTTGTTGTGATTGCAGAATTTGGTGGAGGAGAAGGATAAAAAGGTGAAGGAGTTAGAGGATAATATTGGTGCTGTTAATTTCACTCCACAAAGTAAGATGGGGAAGATGTTAATGGCTAAATGCAGGACTCTTCAGGAGGAAAATGAGGAGATTGGAAATCAGGCCAAGGAAGGAAAGGTAGTACAGTAAATTACATTTTTGTCCTTGAAGGGTGCATTTGTGGAAGCCTGTGTATGTGCTCTGATTGGTTTGCATTTTCTTGGTTGCAGATACACGAATTATCAATGAAACTTGCTTTGCAGAAATCTCAGAATCTAGAGCTTAAAAAACATTTCGAAGGTCAGATTCTATTTCTTTATTTAATTTAGTTATCAATGAGACTTACAGAATTGTTTTGATTTTGATTGATTATGGTGGTATTCAAAGTCCATAATTTAGTTATCAATCTGTGTTGAGTTAATAGCAGGGTGCAAAAGAGCACTGAAACCCTGCCTATTCTGAGCTTCAGCCATAGAATTCCTTGCAACACCCCCAACAGTTCTTAGAAAACTGAGTGATTTCATCAATAGAACAAACCCAAACATTTTCCATCTCTCTTAAGTTTCCTATCATACCCCCAATTAAATTAGGTGACTGGTTTTGCTGTTTCCATACCCACGTGTTCTTGGTTGAAAATCTCTCTTTTTGCACTTTTATTTGGTTTGCCAATATAGACACAGGAAATTGAAATTTCATGCCTTTCTCTAATTTATGGATCTCCTTCCGTAAACCAATTAAAGCCTTTCTGTTTCTTTGAAAGCGATCACTAGATGATTCCAATTCGTAGAGCTTGACTGCATAATCCACTTTTAAAGCTATTGTACCTGAATTTGCAACCTGAAAGTCCATATCAATTTGGTAGTTCCTTTTTTGAAGGAGAACACTCAACATACACAACAAAGGTTCAAAAACATTACTTTGAATCTTAAAGCAAGTAATCTATGATTTCATCGAGAAAAATCAAGACGATGGGATAGTTAACGTCACTTCCTAAGAACTTCTCCTCATTAGCCAACAAGGATGTCTCTTTGCAAATTGTTGTCACAGGTCGAGTCACTACCAATCCTCGCAATTCTTTTTAAGTATCCGAGAACTGATACTTATGAGTCTATGATTAAGCAAGCAAAACTTTTCTAACCTAAACCAGGTAACTCAGAAAGGCGGAAATTAAAGGATGTTGTTCTGGTATGCAACATGCCCCCTCCCCAGCCGAAAACAGATGAATTAGGTCAATTGACATTCCATGTTCCTTGAGAGTGCTGTTTTTGTGGTTGATAGGACTGGCGTCGGCGATGTATTGATTTACTTTCACTTGTGGGTCTAGTTTTACTGGGCTTTTATGTTCCACACTTAAAGGTAAGTCAATTGTATGATTTCAATCATGTTGACCCAATGATTTAATTTCAGCCCATTTGTCGTTTGGAAGCCCAATATTGTGATGACCTAGAAACTCTACCACTACTATTAACGTAACCTTTCTTCCCACGTCGCTCCGTTTGTACTCCATCATCGTTTTCTCAACACCTTGTTCCCGAGTTCAACTTAACGAGGGAAAGGAAAGGAAATGGGTGGAAGTGGGAACAAAATAAAAGAAATTGATGTTCCTGAGTTTCATTAAAGGAAGGAAATGGAATGATCATTTTCCCTCCTGATTTTCTTTCCGATTTGGAGAGAAAGAACAAAATGTTTAATTTTCTTCTCACTTCTCTCCAACTCGGCACAAGTGCTCCTCCTTTTTTTTTCATCAAATTCCGGCAATGGTGGTGGTGACGACGGTGGCGGCAGTCGTGGTGATGATAACGACATCGAACAAGGCCGTCTCCAACTCTCTAACTTCCCGATTTGAGCCTTTTATGTTCAACATGGCACCTTCTCTTCTGTTCTCGCACCCTAGAGGCCATGGAGACGGCGGCGGCTACGGTTGTGCCTCCGGTGACGCGTAGCTGATGCCATGGGGTATTTCCTTCCTCTTTTCTGTTTCCACGGTAGGGATCCAATTTTTCTTCCTCATAGATGATTGTGGTGACTGACCTCCTCTGTTTTTCTCGTCTACTGCCATAGGGGTGTGTAATTCTTTCCTCATTTTGAAGCACCTCTCCTATTCCACCCGATTATCTTGAATCTCATTGGTAGTGGAGACAACGACGATGAAGGTGGTGGAAGCTGTGGTGCCGGCGCAAATTCCGATTCCAACTAAGAAAATTTTGATGATACTTCATCTTCCTCCTCATGGAATGTCATTCCTCCGCTATATGCTTTAGGGTGTGTTCGGCACGGAGTGTTTTGGGGCGTTTGAGAGCTTCTAGTAGGGATGTTCATTTGAATGGATCGGTTCGATCTGATCCAATCAAGTGAATCCAAATTTATTTCGGTTTTCAAAACATTGATCCAAATAGTCCAAACAAAATTCAAATCCGATCCGATACAATTACAATTCGGTTGGATCGGTTTTATAATTCGGTTTTCAAAAACCGGAACATTTTAAAATGTCATATAATTATAATATTACCAAATTTTTACAGAAGAATCAAAAACAAATTATTTAATTGTGATTTTAATTTTATAAACAATCACTAAGAAGGTATATTATAAATATAAAAACTTTTGAGAGAAAATACATATATATGTTTTGTATTAGGTGAAACCTTTTGAACCTATCTACAAATATAGATTACAGAATTAATAAATAACTATAGATATATTAAAAATAAATGAATAATAAATTGTTATTCAGTTTTTTTGGACTATTCGATTCATATTTTATAAACCAAAACCAATCCAAAATAATAATTCGGTTTTTGTTGAAAACAAATCCAAATATCCAAATATCCGAACCAAATAGTCCAATCCAAATTGTCGAATTGGACAATTCGGTTTTATCAAAATATTGAACAACCCTAGCTTCTAGTTTCTAGCGTTTGACAAAACGCTCCCGTTTAAAACAGAAAGTCTCGTTTGACACTACAAGCTTCTAGCGTTTAGTTTAATCAAAACGCTCCAAATCCAAATGCTATTTTATGTAGCGTTTAACAAAACGCTACAAGCTACAAGCTACCCGTTATCGGCTAGTTTTGCCGAACACGCCCTTAAATTCCGACAGTGATGACGATGGTGTGGTCTTGCATTCCTATTTTGACTCATAAACTTTCAAGGATGCTTCTTCCTCCTCATGGACTACTTTCTCCTTCTCCTTCAAGGTTTCTCCACTTAGCCTTTTCAGCCTCCATTCCTTCCTCTGAGTAGTAGTACATTTTCCATTTAGCTATCTTACGTTCCATTTCCGTCTCTTCCATCTCCGGTGAAGAGCCCTGCCTTCTCATTCAAGAGCTGGTCTATTTTCTTCAGCATTTCGTTATGGATGACTCTCATCTATTTCTTTGCCTTTTCTTGTTGTTGAATCCACAAAGATTATTGTTCTTGTTGTTCATCTTGCTTTTTTCTAACAGCTTCCTCCAAATTGTCTAACCTCGTTATTTCTTCCCAGTCATCAACTGCTCTGATACCAATCAATAGAGCTTGATACATTCTTGAATATAAACTGATAATGAAACTATGAATTCATAAGATAAATTAGGTTTTTCCCATTCATTCGAGAGGAATGGACTCTCCAAGAAGAACAAAGTTCTTTCACAAATGAATTCTTAGCTACCATTCTACTCACAACTAAAAGGTTAAATACCCTCTCAAGAGTGAGACCAAACTTTTATGACCATTGGCACATCTGCGGGAATGTCCCCCACAATTACAACAGACAAACCACAGGTAGGTAGTGCTAAGGCCATAACCACTAGAGCCAATGAAACAATGAAAACAAAATTGATAAGATAAAAGGGCAATGAGGTCATTTTAGGGTCCCCCCGCTTAAGGAATTACTCCTTGATCTTTCTTGCTTTCTTGCTGTAAACTAAGAGTTCTAGGGGCTTAACCGTAGATCTATAACATGTGTTCGTATCGTGGAAAATGGGCTTTACTAGGGATCTGTGCACTTAGTCCTTACATCTTCACCTTGATTAGGGACAACATCTCAAGATAGACTTGAGGAGGGACGCCATGGTGTATGCTTTTTCTAATGATATTGTTACGGTTTCCGAGACTAGGAGCGAGCTAAATGATAGGTTTGATACCTTGAAAAGGTCATTATAAGAAAAAGGGCTTAGGATCAACACTATTAAGACGGAATATCTATGGTGTAATTTTGTGGGAAGCAAAATACAGAGCGAGTAGAAGTGTGTATCGGTGAGCAAGTCCTACACTCAAAATAAAGTTTCTAGTACTTGGGTTCTATGATACACAAGGACATGTGTGCTGAGGATGATGTTACCCACCGTTAGGTTGTAAAAAAACGTTCGACTTTAGCTAGTCGGTGGACTTGGGTTAAGGATTAATCGGGGACCCTAAATTCTAATTCACTGAATTTTGAAAAGGTTAAATATGACTAATATTATAACAGAGTTCGCAAATATCACTAATATCATAACAAAATAGGTTAATATGATTAATACAACACTAATCATTACTCAAATAGTTTCAATTAAGATAGAACTTCTTCTAAGTGTTAAAATTTCATCTTTTGCTACTGCCTCACTCACTGCAAAGATTAATCGTTTGGCGCATTCTTCTAAGTGTTAAAATTTCATCTTTTGATTGACTGATTGTTAATTAGTCTTTACTATATATATATATATATATATATATATATATATTTCCTGTGTCTACTACGGGTTTTGTTTATTCACCGGTATCGTCTCAATATTGTATTGCTAGAATCTACTTCCAGTTAAGCTATGACTCCACGATGTTTATACACATGCTCCTCCTGGCTTTCTGTTGTATATGTTCTCACTTCTCATATCAGTATTTATTATACTTATTATTATCATCTCTATTATGAACTCACGTTTTCTATGCAGTAGATCATCCTAAACCAGATGAATTATTTTATCTTATCTTGTTCTACTACTATTATTATTATTATTTCTTTTTGACTCTAGTTATATGGACTGACATTTTACAAGGGGAATCATCCAAGAGGGATAACACCGTTTCATTCTATTATTATTATTATTATTTTATTTATTTATTTTTAATGCTGGAGGTCATCTATGGAAACAATTTAGGCTCCCCCCACCCCCACCCATCTTTGTGGGATCAGGATATTGTTTTTGTTTTGGTTTCCTATTAATTTGTTGCTAAACATCAATTGTTGTTTGTTGATGCAGGATTAAGCAAGCACATGGAGGGACTCACAAACGAAGTTGAAAAATCAAATGAAATGGTTGTTTTTTAATCTTTCCTTTAAAAAACCTATCTTTATACATGGATGCATGTTTAATTATTTTCTACTTAATAATAATAATAATAATAATAACAATATAATTGGGTTAATAATTGTGAATCAGGTGGTAAACCTGGAAGAGCAGCTAGAAAACAAAGATGCTGAGATCCAAAGGCTAAAGCAGGAGCTTCAAAAAGATGCTAATGAGTAATTTTGCATACATTGTTTCTACTTTGTACTGTTAAAAACATATGAAAATTAACATTTTGTATGTCTTAATCATAAGTGACTAGCTGTTAGTACTTAGTAATAGCCAGCTATTAAAGTTTTTTTTTTGGAATAACAAATGCTTGAAATCCATATAGTATGTTTTTCCATCTTTCTTCAATTTACACTTGTCAAATTTACGAATCCGTTGAGGGAAACACATTTTTTTAAAGACTAAGGGGCTGTTTGATAGCTATTGACTGAGTAAGGTCTGACTGAGTCAGAGTCTGGGTCTAGAATCTGACTGAATCTACATCTGACTGAAACCATATTGTTTGATTATGCATCTGACTGGCTGTGCTGACCGTTGAAAATGACCATTTTACCCTTCTGTTTTTTTTTGTCAAATAAACAAAAATTTCGTAAATTCACATAAACCAAGATTTCATAAATTCTAATAAACCAAGATTTCATAAATTCTAATTTCATTGCAAGAAATTTTGATTCCATACAAAGATCATAGAAGCAGAAATTTCAAGCATAGATCATACAAGCAAGAATTGTGATTTCAATTTTCATACATAAAACAACATACATGCAGATTTTATGATTTCATCAAAGGATCTAATATAAAACAAAAAGGAGTGGCATGCTTTCATGTGGTTCCTCCTTTGAGCTTGGAAAAGAGTCCATGGAAGCATTCACTGTGACCGATGCTTCATTGGTAGACATTGAAGGACTTGTATAGTAGTGTTCATAGATTCATCAGGAATTAAACTTAGATCACGGTGAGAACCATGTTGTAGCTTCTGCAGTTTCTTATCTACATAACAAAAAAATAACTGTGATCACAAAAACAGAATGATAACAGTACAAAATAAAAAACACATTGATTAACTACACAGTCTACACTTCAATTGTCGATGTGATTTAAATAACCAAAAACAAAAAAATGTCAACTATTCCATAGATTTAGCTCTGTTCTTAATTTTCAAATCAAAACTACTTATGTTCATGTCAACTCGCACAAAACAGAAATTGTGAACGAAATCATAAAGGAGCATAAAACAAAATCCAGAACATACTCGATTAACATCACAAATTTGCAACATGTCAATTAAAAAGAAGAAAAGTGTACCATAGATGGAAGATGATGGTGCAGTGAAAGCATCGATTTTTCAATCGACCTTACGTGAGGAAGATTTTTCAATCGATTTTTCAATGTTGGAGGAAGTCGACTGCTGCAATGAACCAGTGGCGGAAGTGAGTACGACGGTGGCGGCGCTGGATCGAGGCAACGATGGACGGAGGTAAAAGGGGGCAGAGATGGGAGGAGCCGGCGTCGACGTCTAAAGAAGGAGAGAAAGGGTAATGACGGTATTTTTCTCGGTCAGGTAATTTCTTTTCAATTACCGAGTCGGAGGATTTTTGAGGACCGAATCAGAGATATGGACTGGGTAGGATGTTTAAATGTTGTTATCAAACACACTGATTGGACCGGGTCAGCCAAAAAGTCTGACTGGACCCAGTCAGCCCTAAATCAAACACGCCCTAAATGAACCAATGATATACAAGATTGCTACTGTTTTTAAACCATCATTCAAGGCGGTATTCGGAAATGGGGCGTGTGTTTTCTATTTGATATATTATTATACTTTTGAAATTCTATATAATCAGTTTTTATAGTGTTTAGGTAAAAATTGTATTAGGTAATACACAATTTATCTTACTTTTTTTTTCTTTTTATTATTATACCAAGAACATTTCTAACGTGAGCTTTTTTAGGTAAAATTTGTATTAGGTAATACACAATTTATCTTACTTTTTTTTTTCTTTTTATTACAATGACTACATCCTACAACGAGGTTTCCTTGCTATTAGAGTGCAGATGATTTTTTGATTTTTCTAATGTGATACTTTTATTTTATACAATTAAATGATTTTTTGATTTTTGTGTTTTGTATATGTGAGCACATTTATCCAATGATGCTTCATTTTACTTACCGACAATATTTTAACCTTCATAGTTTTATTATTTTTGACTAATTAATTTGTTTTGTTTTGATATTTAATATCAGTATTAAATTTGTAATGGTCATATTGTATTTTTTTATAACTAATTTTATCATCTTTTTAATTAAAAAAGGGACTTGGTTACCTTTTTAAGTTTCTTTTGATTTTGATTGCTATAGTTTTTTTTTTTTTAATAGTAAATTTTTTTGACTAAATAAAGTTCAATACATATCGATTGTTATTATACGTAAAAAAACCCGATCGTGTATATTTAGTACTACATATTTTAATTTTGTGTGTTGTGATATCTTTATTTTATTTAATGTTATTGTTAAAGACTCTTTTTATGAATATTATATGTGCTTAGATAATAACAAATTAAATAAGATATTAATTTTTTCACAAATATAATGGTAAATTAATTAATTTTAGAAAATATCAATAATAATGTTTTTTAAGTAAATAAGTTTTTATTTGATAAAATTAATAAAAATCACATGGCAAATAAAAAAGCTAGTTCTAATAAAAGCATTTATAAAAATAATGGTAAAGTGGTTAATGTAAAAAAAAAGGATCAATAATTAAATGCTTTAAGTTTATGTTTGATTAACTTAATGAAAAATGACATGACAAATAAAAAGGCTGGCTCTAATAAAAACATTTGGATGTTACGTTAAAAAAATATATATTTGGGTTTAACAGAAATAGCTTTTGTTCTGTTTAGTTTTTTAATTGGGAAAACTGCAATAAAGTCCTTACATATCCGCCTCATAATCGATTTAGTTCCTATATATTTTTTTATTCAATTAAGTCCCAAATACCAGTAATCGTATTCAATTTAACCTTTGACGCAGTCAACAGGTCATCCAACTTTCAAAAATTACATTTTTGGCCCAGATTTCAAATTTTATTACAAATTCGGTCCATACTTTACACTTTGGCCCAGATTTAAACTTTGTTACAAATTTGGTCCAAACTTTACCCTTTTTGCCCAAATTTAAAATTTTATATGCATGCACATAACTTTTTTTTTTTTTTTTTTTTTTTTTTTACAACAAATTCTTTCTCCAAAAAAAAATTGTTTCTAATATGTTTTTTTTTATTATAAATCATATTTATAAAAAAAAACATTTTCACATAAAAATCTTATATGTATATAAAAACGTTTTTTAAAAGCTTTTTGTATATGAAATATCTAGTTATAAAAATATGTATTTATTAAGTATATAAATATATACAAATCCGTTTTTATAAAAAATGGATACAAAACGTATTTTACAAAAAACATGTATACAAATTCGTTTTTAATAATACGTGTTTGTATACATTTTTTTTGTAAAATACGTTTTGTATACATTTTTTTTATAAAAACGGATTTTGTATATTTATATACTAATAAATACCTATTTTATAACTAGATATTTCATATACAAAAAACTTTATATAGAAAATATAAGATTTTTATGTGAAAATACGTTTTTTTTTTGTATAAATATGATTTTATAAAGAAAAAACATATTAAAAACAAATCCGTTTTTATAAAAAAAATGTATACAAAAACGTATTTTGCAAAAAAAAATGTCTACAAATTCGTTTTTATATAATACGTATTTGTATACATTTTTTTTATAAAAACGGATTTGTATATATTTATATACTTAATAAATACCTATTTTATAACTAGATATTTCATATACAAAAAACTTTTTATATAGAAAATATAAGATTTTATGTGAAAATACGTTTTTTTGTATAAATATGATTTTATAAAGAAAAAACATATTAAAAACAATTATTTGAGAAAAAAAGTTGTAAAAAAACTAAACTTAGAATGAATTCATAATAAAATTCTAAAATTTGGGCAAAAAGGGTAAAGTTTGGACCAAATTTGTAACAAAATTTAAAATATGGGCCAAAAGTGTAAATTTTGGACTCAATTTGTAATAAAATGATATCTGGGCCAAAATGTATTTTTGAACTTGGATGACCTGTTGACCGGGGTCAAAGGGTTAAATTGAATACGATTACCGGTATTTGGGACTTAATTGAATAAAAAAAAATATAGGGACTAAATCAATTATGAGGCCTATATGTAAGGACTTTATTGAGTTTTCCCTTTTCAATTTGACTACTTATAATTGAAGAGTTAAATATGATTGCTAAAATGATATTGTTATCATTAATAATATTATATTTTTTTAAATGATACATGAGGATATATGTTTTAATAAATGTTAAGCGTATAATATGAGTCCACTTATATTTTCGTAAATTGGTCGAAATTACCCGTTGTAGTTCAATCACGAGAAGTGTTGAGACTTTTAGGCTAGTCGGTGTGCTCGGTAAGTACCTCAGCGAACACCGGGACGAGCCCTCGGCATGCCGAGCTCGGCTCAGCAACTCGATAGATTTGTGCCGATGAGAGAGTGTATGGTTTGGGGAAAATGGAGAGAAAGTGAGGATTTAATTTTTCTTTTGAAGTTGCAAGTAACAAAAATGAAAGAAACGACGATAAATGAAGGAGAAGACAACAAAATTTTCTAGATTTGACATAAAATGTCCTTAAGGCATGGTCTACTAACAAAAAGTATCTTCATTTTAAATTCTCTCTACATAAATAGTTTTTGAAATAACAGAATCAACCATTGACTTATAAATCCTAATTATTATTACAGTTAAATGAAATTTTAGTTTTAAAAAAAAATTATATGTTTGAAATGTTTATTTTTTTAAATTAATTAATTTAAAAAAAATTACAATGGCAAGTGTGGCAACCCATGTCATTAAAATGACAAAAAAATTAAAGGAGTGTGGCAAAGCTGACGTGTCGCCTACATGGAACGTGATAAGTGTGACACCACACCCACTAGCCTTAGCAAACTAATCTATCTTTATATGGTGTGCATTTATGAGTTTATCTTTGCATTATCACCCAAGTTAATTTAAGGATGTTTGGATATTTACCTTCTTTGTTGGACGAACTCAATATTAATACTAAAATTAAAAGTTTTATATAGATAGATTTAGCGGATTTTTTTGGAAACGACAAACGAATTAAGTGGAAGCTTACTTGCAATATTTCAACGAACACTCTGGATTCGAGCTCCTTTACATGGCAAACCCAGTCCCCATAGGGATTTCCAGGAAAAATTTCCACATGTGGCACCAAAAGAGGTAGTT